ACTGCAAATCATTCCAGATTGTAAATAGGGATATCATTACCACGGGCTGGTGCTGGGTTAACCAGTATCCACTCTATATTCTATACACCTTGTTGTATATATGCTTACGACTAAAGGTAATGTGAAAAAAGACTAATTGGTAAGGCTCGCGAACGTTTGGGTCGCTGTATATGAATACCTAGTAACTTACTGACCCAACCCGTAACGATTGTAGATGGGGCAAAGGACACAGCGGCTGATCAGCAAGTAGACTGGTCTCATACAGCACCTTGGATACACACATACGCAGCTGGCGTTTAGCGTAGCTTGGAAAGGTATTGCAGTTTTATCAAACCATGACAACTTTGGAGGAAAACCAAGAGTAGACGTTCACAACTACGGTAAATGTCGCAAGCAGGGGTGTGGTGCTGACATACGCTTATCGGTGGGTTCAGCAGTCTTACTGCTATATAGTAACTTTTTGGGCGTTGTATTGTAATGAGTTAACTGCAGCTGTTCTGTCGTTATGGACGTACAAACATGACCCTCTATGCATCAAACAATGGTTTTATTTTGCGGTTGGACTTTTGTCAACGACTATTCTGAAACAGTTGTGTTCTAGTCTGAGGCATCATGCATGTGCTGTATGGTGTGACGTTGACAGCAAGTTAGCATATGTCTCCAAGTCTGGTCCTTGGTGTTACTTGACATGATGTATTCACGGCGTACACCAAGCCCCGTGGGGTGCGTACATGCGTTAGTATAGGTAGCTTCAAACCACAGAAACTCGTTATTGGTCGGTAAATATATATAACATATATATATACCCCTATAAAGAAGTAGAGAAAATGCGTCAGTTGACTAGTTCGATTCTGCCCGAGTGTGACATCTACCTCCGCTCTCCTTTAAGCGTTTCATAAACAAATCGACCGTGATATCGATGTAAACAAAACCGTCAAGAAGGAGTGACGCTCTTTCTCTCTACTTATATATAGATGGTATATATGTTTATTTACAGACCAATAACGAGTTCAAACCTTCCCAAGTCAGGGTTTCTGTGATCATCGCGATACGCTCGATTTCTTCAGGGCATTTTGTACAAATGCGCATGTTCTCATCGCATCCGTGACACTATATCGTTTCTACTGTTACATGAGTGTCACCTCTCTCGCAGTCATCATTGCTCGAACCTGTTAACAATACCTGCTCCATATCACAACCAAACAATACTTACCAGCAAACGGGTGTTTCCTGGGTGCGAATTTACTTCCCTTGTTCTTGCGTAGGAAGGACCACACCGACGTATTCAAATTGAAGTCACACATAACTCAGGGTATACAAGAACTCCAATACTGAAGTTCCACTGATCCTGGTAAATCAGGATTCTGTGTTGAGGACTGTTTGCGCCATGGCAGAAAGAGTCACGATAACCTTGCAATTGGGTCAGTCAAGTTGATGCATGTCAACCCACAGTACCGTTAACGAAAGATGCGGTAGTATACCACCTAAAATAGGGCAACGACGACGTCTCCCGTCCCCTCCGACTCAACAGAAAGGTCTCCCTGAGAGCAGGGCACTATGGTCCACGGGAATGAAGCATGTCTAAACTACGTGACCGAATAACTAAAAGGGTCTTTACAATGTTCCTGAATACACCAACTCATCACAGAATCATAAACATCGCCAATGAGCCATTCCCCCAAGTGCGCACAGATCGCTCTTTATGTCGGTCTTTTCGGAAGGCAAATTGAACACAGAGGTCATGAAAAGCTAACACGAATTCGAACAGAGGTGCCCTGTTCACCAGTATCGCTGGATCACACCCAGGTCAGTAGAGAGCCTTCTGGAGATATTGTATTCCCCCAAACAACATATGTGTCAATTCCCTTCCATCTCTTGAGAATCTCTTCAGCTGCTTATTACCTGGACGTACGTGTCTATGGTCCCTGCTGTGAACACAGTGGTGGATGGTGGACGCTCGGGTTCCCCCCGAATGTAATATCCTGTTGTCCTTCGGTTATTCCAGTAAATATTAGAAAAACTGTCGGTTTTCTGCGTACCGTGAAATAGGTCCGTAATATATCCGGCAGCTGTGGCGTCGTCAACCTAACATTGTAGTATGTTAAAGCAGTGCGGTAAACACCCGTCGTTACACGGTAGATGCAATCCTCAGTACAATCTGCCATGTTCTTCGTTGGGTGTTTGGATAAAAAAAAATTGTAGGACAACATGGACAAGGCTCTAGAGTTTCGCAATCGTATGTCGTTAGGTTCTATTATAATTATAATGAGAATTATAGCCGATTTTAACAGTATTCCAGTTATATCACGGCGTGTCAGCTTAATGTGGGCGGAAAGTCCGAAGTGATGCAGGTAGACATTTACCACTTCGGTGAAACCCAAGAGCACGGGTATGGTGCTGATAAACCTAGAAACATAATCGGGGCAAACCGGGATTCGAACCCACAGTCATAGGTTTCTGGCGGGTCAAAGGGACGCAACTCTGCACAGCGAATTTCGGCGCCTTAGACGACCTATTATAATTATAAGTAGAAGTTGTTGATTTTTGTTTGTTGTTTAACGCCACACTCAGCAGTATTTCAAGACAAACCAGTGATTGATATTATGTGCAATGACACGCCGATGACACCGAATCTGACAATCTGATACATTTGGACCCCTTACGACAAACACAGATTGCTGGTGACCTATTGTAACCAGAATCTCTATGGGGGTCTGCATCTTTAAAACTGAACATATACTCTGCGAAAAAAAAGGAAACGCAAAAGTAGTAAAATTCGGCAACATAACATGCACGTGCAACATCACTTGTTAGGCAATGAAAATATTGGGTTTTCATTTTCATACCATCACAATCTTACAGCAAGTGAAAAGCGAAAACATGCCACGACTGACGGAAGCCCCAATGCAACAACGCCATCGGCCTGACTGCAAACGGGAGAATCATCTTCAGCTGTAGCCAGTTTTTTTCTACTTTGCACGAAGCACCATTACAAGACTCATCTTGAAAATCTAATGTTCCATGTGTGCCATATGGAACCTGGGTCAATTACAATAATGTGTGCTAATTGCCATCGGTTCATTATTTAAATTATATGTAAAATATACACCTAAAATAACTATTGCGTTTCTTCTTCTTTTTGCAGAGTTTTTGTTTTTTGAGTCGGCCAAACGTTATCATAGTTGGAAAACACACTACGGTTTAACCTATTAGACACTTGCCAAATGTTACCGAAGCTTTATCTTAGTTTCATTCGTTATCAACCATTAACCCCATCATTTTCCTTCGGTGCCTGCATACCAAAATCTATATGTAGTTAGGAAACGACCATTCGATAATATTTTGTGGGGAGGGGGGAAGCCTGCATTTTGTATCGAGATTTAATACGTTTTCATCTTCAACTGCAAAGCCAGATACTTTTGTATATTTTCAACTGTGACCAGCAAATAGCAGATTATAAATATGGCGTACATAAACACACAGGTTTTAAAACTCATCGAACCACCCCTTCCATGATGTGTCTGAGCATGGCGCATGTCTCGCAAATCACACGTGGATGAAGTCTGTAACCTGATGATCAACGGTAGGAAGTCGTTTCCTGCTATTGGACCTACAGTTTATATACAATCTGTTGTTGAGTTTATAATGAACAAACATGACAGGGGTTGGCCTGAAATGATTGGAACGTATACTTCGGTAAAACGGAATTGTGTTGTGGCATTGATCTCTCGTGAACTGACATATATTTGGGCTACATAAATCCATGTTGAACCTGCCTGATTCTTACTGTAGTGACTGGTGTGACTTTTGAATATGTATAATCCTACTGCAGTTGAAAAGCTTGACATAGTTCCAGTATTACACTATTATAGGAGGGCAGAAAAGTTACAGTTCCTTTGTGTAATCCACGCAATATTTCTATAGTCTAAAACTGCTAATTTTTACAATACCCCCGCCGTTTACTGTACAGTTAAATAACAATATTGATACGAAGAACGTGTAAAAACGGCTCGGGTTGTTATGTGTTTGTTTGTTGTTTTGACACCGCAATATTCCAGCTATATCCGCCTGTAAATAATAAAGTCAGGATCACACAATCCAGTGATTGACATCATCAGCATCGATCTACGTAATTGGCATACGACGACGTGCATCAACTAAGTTACAGAGACTGGTCACCCGATCCCCTTAGTCGCCTCTTACGACAAGCAGAAGATCAATTCTAACCCGGTCAAGTTGTTATAATGTAAACGGTGTATGAGGTTTAGTTTTTTTCAACTTTCGATATAAACAAAGTCCTCTACATCTACCTGAATGATTGTGTTAAAGAAAGAACGGAGAGATTCATCTGGTGGCTGGTGAAACGAGAAGTACATACATGATGCACTGGAAAAATACAATCTCATTAAAATCAGATCTTAGTTTTCGCTACCGTTTGTTTAGCGATAGATTAACTAAGATCTGATTTTAATGAGATTGTGGAAAAAACATCGCACAGTAAGTCAAGGGAGGTAACTCTCCTATACCCGAGTGCTTCTGTGCTTGGTAAAAGAAATGTATATGACTGGGAGGACAGCCCCGCCAGCCGGGTACAGGAGACACAGCCGACAACATTGGTACAACACATAGTGTGGGAAGTCCGTATGGAAGTCAGTAGTTCAGTCATAACCCCTTCTCTCGTCGTCAAGTACACTTGACCCACCTGTACTGGGCCAGCCACCCGCCTACGACTCAAAAGTCCCTGCAGCTGCGATGGTTCAGAATTCCTTGGGCTATTTTCCCGCGACACCAATGGTGGGAAATTGCCTAAAAAGCTTCATAGACTTGTTGTTTCAAAAAAGATGTGGAAATTGTAAAACTTTACGATGGACAGACGGGCAGGCAGACGACAGACGAGAGAGCTCACTTGAACATTTCAGGTGAGCTACAGGTGTGTTGAAATCTACATCACCAGATTTAGAAGAAACATTATCGACTAGCCAGTCAGCAAATGCACTTACCGTCATCTTTAATTTCGTTTTGACCTGTGTCCCCACTTTCCTCCTGTGACCAGCCAAGCCGGTGCAAGGTATTCTATAATATAAAATACACGGTTAATGTATCGTAGTGCTAACTAGCTTCTTGGGAGAAACGGTTCTAAAGTTTTAGACAGGTGATGTATTTTATTTGACCAAGAAACCAAGATCTTTTTAATCTAGCCTTTCTTATAGAGTGTCTCATTTACAGAAACGGCTATAAACCTAAGGAACGGAACTGGATGTATGTCTTAATTTATCAAAGCAACATATATAGTTTGAGTGCTCAGAACAATGTACAAGTGTATAAGTTAGGAATTTTGATTTACTTTAAATGATATCAAAGATCAAAGAAATATGATTTATTGTCAGCTTGTACTGTGATTTTAATGTGATAATATTATTTATTTACATATTTCAGAACCGCTATCCCGCGAACATGCATGCCCCATACCCAGTGTCTTATCACCACACTGCATAGTGCTGTTTTTAACACTACTACATGATCGCCTGTCGATCAGCTCACAGATACATTTATTCACAACTGTTCTTTCACGTGTGTAACTCTCGTACCGCCACTGAAGTGGTTTCAGAAATAGTCTGATTGTTGTTATAAATACCCCCCCCCCCACACACACACACACACACACTGTATACACGTCCACCGCAAGCCTACCCACCCCCTAACATCTCTCTCCTCCCAGACTCCCACCCCCTTCATGCCACCTTACGCAATCTCAGTAAGAATGGATCTTTCAATACAGATCAATATCCAATCAATCACTTATTTGTATAGACGTGTACAAGCTCAGTTTCACTCTTGTCTGACATCTACGGGTAATCCAGATATCGATTATCGATCTACTAGTGATTGATATGATTGATCAGAGAAGCGGAGGCAAAGACTAGGGTGTCAAATTGACAATATTGAACTCTGATTAGCATTTCGCTGCCTAACACCTGAACAACAGACATTTGTCTGCGGAGAACTGGTAGTCACAGAAACATCAGCATATAAAGGTGAATTTAGCTACTGTGTCGCTGAATATATGTCACGGTCTATTGTTTCAAAATAGATATTTTTAACAGTGTAAAAAACACCTTTGTCTTACGAAATGTTCCGATCTGAGTTTCTCTATCGGCAGGTACTGATTGTAAGACGAGTGAATGAGTTTGTGGTAACACCGCTTTGAACAGTGTTTCGGTCTTGTCATGGAGTAACAGCTGTGTGTTCGAGGAAAGCCCGAAGTGATGCTGGAGACGTTTACAAATCTGGTGAAAGCTACGAGTACGGGTATGGTCCTGACAAACCTAGAAACATAATCTAGGATCAGAACCCATGACGCATAAGGGACGCAGTTCTGAAGCACAGCCTATGACAGCACCTTAGACGACTGGGACATTTATGCTACAGATGTAAAGGGGGTACTGGGTTTGGCGTCCTGGAAACCCAGGTCTATAATGACACTGCCACGTGGGATATACATGCCACGATCCCGTTATCTATTTAGTTGAATCAAGTTGCTCATTCAACTTTCTGCCAATGGTGAATAGACTGACCTGTTCAAGGCTTGTACACAGTGATCTGATATACACTTCTATCAATAATTGACCACTTCTAACTAAGAATAAACCAGGGAGGTCATATATACATGCAAACTCAATATTTAAATATTTGACAGTGAAACCATAATCACGCATCGAAAAAACGTAATGAACCAAACCGTACCCCGTTACCCTCTCCTCAAAAGCGCACTTACGTCCTGTGTTTAGTTGTAATGAACAACGAGACCCTAGCGATATCATTCTGCAGGTCTGATGTAGCCACTTTGACTCTACCATCAGCGTCATGGTACATTCTATGAGGCCGCGCACACGCACACACACACACACACACACACACGCACGCACGCACACACACACACACATATATATATATATATATACTGAGTCACATTAAAAACTTCACATTTTTAAAAGTAATCCCATATATGATATACAACAGACAAATGTATCAGAGAAGGAAATTTATAATCATTAATGTCCAACGAAGGATTTTACTTAACGGCGGTAACCCTAATTTGGTATTCGGTAATAACATCAACAGTTTAAATCATAAGTCCCAAGCACGAGAATCTGATGGCACACAAGTTCAGTAGCGTGTATTGCCACCATGTGCGTTGACAACTGCCACACAACGCCTCCGCATGGTCCTTGTGATGCTTGTGAACACATGCTTGGGAAGACGACGCCATTGTTGCTGCAAAATGGTGCCAAGATCTTGCAAATTCTGTGGTTGATTCTGGAGAGTGCGCAGACTTCTGCCAAGAGCATCCCAGACGTGTTCGATGGGATTGAGGTCGGGAGACCTTGACGGCCAGTCCATGACGTTGACTCCCGCATTCTGAAGGAAATTCCTTGTCAAAATTGTTTTGTGGGGTCTGGCATTGTCGTGTTGGAAGATCAAACCGGGTCCATGTGCTGCCATAAAAGGCAGAAGTTCTGGTGCCAGTACCTGGTCGCGGTAAGCAAGAAGCCTGGAACGTGCATTGCCACAGAAAGCACCCCACACCATGACACTTCCGCCTCGAATCTGTCAACTTCCTGTACACAACACTGGGCGTAACGTTCATGACGGCGCCTCCACACCCTCGCCCTACCATCAGCAAATCGAAGATTAAATCGGGATTCATCACTGAAGACGACTTGATTCCAATTCCTCTGAGTCAATCGTAAGTGTCGCTGTGCCCACAATTGACGTTGACGTCTGTGTAATTGAGTCAGAATCGGCCCGCAGTATGGCCGTCGTGCTTGAAGGTGAGCAGTTCTCAGACGGTTTCGAACAGTTTGCGCACTCAGTCTACCCCTAAACAGTTCATTTCTGGTTGATGTAGCCGACAAAAATCGGTTACGGAGGTGACGTAAGACAATCTGACGATCCTATATATGTGACGTCACACGTGGTCGACCTGGCCGAGGGCGATCAGCGGTGGTACCCGTTTGCTGTAGACGCGTCTGTACATCATAAACAGTCCGTCGACTACAACCCATTGTCCTTGCAACTTCAGCTACGGACGTTCCCGTCTGCAACATGCCGATGGCACGTTCACGTTGCACATTTGGAAGGCGTGGCATGACAAATGGCCGTAAAGACTTTTGATTTCTTGTGTTTTTCTTTTTTGTTAATGACTGCTAACAAGTATGGCTGAAAACACGTGCGGTATTATGGCCACGTAACCAGTTGCACGTGAAAAACCACTTTTGCCACTATAGTACTGTGCACATGATTTTGATCGATTCACCTGCACAAAAACGGGTGTTATCTGAAGACAATACGTGGCCATTACTGTTTAAATAGACAATAAGGGCCCACAATGATAACTGGTCAAAATGTTAAAATTTTAGGATTGTGAAGTTTTTAATTTGGTTCAGTATATATGCATACACTTTATAAGATTGTCAAACATAGCAGTGACGTAACTGCGGGAAACCGTCAACAATATTTGAATGTCTTAATGTCGATGAATGAAGCGGACATTTGATATTGTAATTATTTTTTTCTTACCAAACCATTACATATATGCATCAGTCCATTGAATTTTTGATGAAAGAACTTGTTTGATGAAGTAATAGTGACATATCCAATAATGCCATATGTAAGGCCACTATGTTAACTGAGTAAAAAATCTTCAACTTCAATTCTTGATCCATTTGGGTATTTGTTACTGCATGTGGTGACCATATATTGTTGCATCTGCATTTTCAAACCTTCGGGACAATTTGTTAAAAATGAAATAAAATGTCATCTGAAGTTTACTGACAAAACAATATGTGAAATGCTGGACTTCTTCGTAGATAACATCAATGTGACATCTGGGCATAAGAAGTAGGCATCTCCATGGGCGCAAGTGTGATTCCCTCCTCGCTGATCTGTTTCTTTATGCATATGAATCGGAATTTATGCTCGTATTGGTAATATAAAAATACAGGAATATGGCCAAGAAGTTGAACTTCAGCTACAAGTATACCGATGATCTGATATCGTTCAATAAAGGTCAAATAGCGAATTCCCTTCAACTGTACCTGAGCTAGAAACGAAAGAGACCAGTGAAACCGCTTCATCTATGCCCAAAGATTCAGAGTGATAAAGGAAAACTACATGTATGTCTGGTAGATATTCCAGCAGCTCAAGTCTTTGCATGGTGTCTAGATTTCACAACTTTTGAGCATGCTCTTTCTACGAAGATTTCAAAGAGCGTCATACGACTCTTGTTTAAACGTTGTTTCATCAGGGTCACAATACATTCAAGGCCTTGTAAAGCTTTCAACATTTTATGTGGTAGACAAAATTTGAGGCATCAGTGACTAAACTAGTGTCCAGTGCAATTCCCTATTTTGACTTTCCCGTGTTTTTGTCTTGAACAATTGACTTTCCTTTGCATGTGTTTGTGATGGGGGCTATCGGTGGGGTAGGATACACTTACCCATTCGCGAACACCTGGTGTTATCACTAATTGACATGCTTATGATGTAGTGGAATCGTGATTTAGTTGTAAAAGGGGGAAGGTACATTTGTTCATTCTTCGTGTTGAAAACATGTCTAAAGATGAGATGGTTAAATTGTTGTATTCGAGGGCCGTGACCCCTCGGGGGAAGGGGGGTGGGGGGGGGTGGGGTGTGCAGGCTAACACCCCCTCTGGTTCCTCGACGCCAAGGCAGGATCTGTTTACGCTGATCACCAGCTGGCATTAAAAGCTCCATTCGGCGATAAGAGGTCTTCGTTCTACCGTAATACAGCATTCTTTAGATAAACAGACTTCCAATTCAATTCATATCTTCTATATTTGGAGAATAGTGGCGTTGTTTGACATGCGACTTTACCAGAAGCCTTGGTTCTTACAGCAACAATGACCGTATTACATGGGATTTATTACCAGTAACTGAGACAGGGTTTTCTCATTGTGTTGTGATGAAGATAATTCATTTCATATACACAGAGTTGAGGTAGTATCTCCATACATACAATCAACTTCAAACACAAGCAGGGCAATTTGTCTAGTTAATTCGTCGGCCCAGTTTTCCAAATGGTTTTATTGGAAGGTTGTCATCATTCAATACATGCCCCATTATGCTTCGTTGTGCTACAGTACACTACCATACATTACACACCGCATTACCCTACACTATGATGTACTGCGCTACTCTACACTACACAAGGTTACTCTACATCACACCACAAACCACCAAGCACCACACCACACCACACACAAGACCACACACCACCAAGCACCCCACTACAACACACACACCATACTACACACCACTAAGCACCACATCACACCACACCGCACCACCAAGCACCCCACTACAACACAAACACACACACCATACCACACACTACTAGGCACCACACCACACCGTACCACACACCACCAAGCACCCCACTACAACACACACACACCATACCACACACCAACAAGCACAACGCCACACCACCAAGCACCGCACCACACAACGCACCCACCACAAACTACACACCAGACCACACCACACCTCACCATATAGCTAGACACTACATTCCACACGATTGAAATATATTTGCAAACTTCATTGTGTTTGCCACAAGCTACCAAGTATGTCTTTACAGATACCCGCCATCTATTCCCCGGCCTCTGTGTTTACTGAAGTATTTATTGAGCTTATAATATGGGACGTTATAGCCAGGGGATATTTTTCTGCAGAATAAATTTCAGAGATAACACTCCGAGGTCCGACTTAAGTACAGACACAACTGCTCATAAAGGCATGTTAAATCGTGTTAAGTATTGATATTGTATTGGGTGCGCTGTGTACATGGACTGTGTATGTTTACATGTCATGAAAAAGGTATTTAATGAAAACAGCTGTTCATTTCCCCTTTTTTGCTGTGACAAACACTAGTTTGTTAGCATCTTCCCTAAATAATCTGTGCCAGATATACTCTTGATTGTCTTGTTTAATCCCGTAAACATAAAGTCTTTTTTGTTCATTCGCAGACAAACTACAATATGGGTTTATGTATTGTTTATATGAGACAGTTTATTGAAGGAGTGCAGGTATTCTAATTCCCTATAGTACTCAAGAGTCTGGTTCGTACGTTTCGTTCACTTCATGGTTTCCGGTAATGTTTTGGATCCACGTCCAGGACCAGGACCAGATTGAACTGAATGTACATTTAACATTATCCTTCATCATTTACTCACCATATTAAGCTGTGAAAACCCGTTTCTCGTAGCCATGTCCACTCTCTGCAAACTGTCGTCTGCCTTGAAAGTGTCATCTGTCCGAGTGTCGTCTGCTTGCGGTGCAGGTGTGAGGGGCAAAGGACATCGCTGTGTCGTCCGCTTCCGCTTGGTGACAGAGTTAGGGCGGGAAACCACGGGGGGTCTGCGGGATTTAAAACATCGATAGATAAGAAGAGACGAACTAGTATCACGCTGTGTCGCCATATTTTGCAGAAGGGATGATGGCTTGCCACTTCACATAAGCTGTGTGTCACATATGCACGTGCTTGTCAGGCACTTTGGACCAAAGTATTGTAGAAAGTCCATTCCCTGCAGTAGACAATCGGGTCGGGGGCACAGGCAATACATCACTGTAAAGACGTTTTGTGTTGTTGCAGTCTTAGTCAAGTATAATATGTACGCCAACAAGAATCTTGCCATTTTCAGAAAAAATACTTGTGTGCTAAAACTCTGGAAAGTTCAATTTCTGACATCTGCCCATCAACAAGACGAGCACCTGTGAGTGAACCTTTGTCATCAACGTGGCAGTGCAGTATGTTTAACATGGCCTGAAGAACACAACCTCAAAGTCTCATTACCTGATCAATTTGAACCGCGACCAAGGACGATTTGCATGGCCATTTGAGGAGATTTATCCTTCATCGGGGCTTAACAATAAGAGGATTCAGCCCCGGTCGAGAATCGTTGTCATAAACCAAACTTAGACATGCATCCGCAACCAGGGCCACAAATCGTATAACAGCTTAAGTTTAAATTCTCTTTCAAGTTAACCATACTTGCGTCATAGTCTAGAACCGTTCTACCCTGAGAAAAGATTAATGAAGAATTTACTTTCATCTGGTTGCGGGTCTTCACCGCAATAGACAGCTGTCACTCAATGTACACAATGAATACTAACTGTCTGCTTAAACCTGACACACACATAAAAGCGTGTTTACAATGAAGACAGGTTGGGTGATTACAGAGTACATGAAATAGACATGAAAAACAACTGTCCTTGCCAATCCTAGCTGCCACTGCACTATATAGTTAAATGTTCTGTAGCGTAAAACAGGCAGTGGTGACTTGGGGTGGAGTTATGGGTGTCGTTGTACACGTGTATCATTCTCAAAGGATTTATTGTATTGTGTATGGTTAGAATCGGCAATTGCACAATTTCAAATATATTTTCGTTTACCTCGTTTGACGAAATTATTTCCCCTTGACAAATATGTTGCTTATTGTTTCATATTTTGGAAGGAAGCCCATTCGTCTAAGGCGTAAGTTTTGAATCCCAGTTTCACCCTGACTATGTTTTTAAGGTTTATCAGCACTATACCCGTGGGCATGCACGGGATTCACCAAAGTTGTGAATATCCAAGACGTGCATCACTTCGGGCATTAAGCTAACATGCTATTTCATGAAAGAGAATAAATTGGAAGATGCAGAATTTCTGCATTGTTCCTGGACTGCCATTTATTTGCAGGTTTATCCTTCACGAACAGGTGGATGAAATTTCTGTGGCTGTATCCGACACGAACAGGTCCATGTTAGCTTTGTCGGAGTCAAGCATCACTGCTATATTTACATCACCGATTGTGTAAAAGCTAACCCTGTCTGTACTATAATTGTATCAGATATTACAGAAAAAGCAGCATTTGAAACAGGTGAATTGTGAGAGGACACAAAAAACGAACTATGTCTAATTAACCCCATTCATCGACGCATTCGCATACGCGCAACATACAACGCGTCATGTAAGTAATTGTAATCAGTTAACAAGTATCTCCTTCTTCAACAGATTCAATGGTTTCCAGACACCTGGAGTCACGTTGCATGCAAGCCAGTCATATACACTCTATAACTTCACAAAGATTGTTTTTTGCATTATTTTGTATTATGTCCCTCTGCCAAAATGAACAAATTTGTACATATTCGAAAGAAAGCGTGGAATTGCGATAAAACGATTAAAATGATCGGGTCATGTAAACATATCGTGGTATTTAAATACGGAGTTACAGACGCGTGTGCCATCTGATACTGCACACTTTCTACTGCTGTTTGTAGCGACACCCTCACTGCACTGGACGTTTAGTCGTGTATGTCAGCTTACAAAAGACTCTTTCATTGAACTCATCCCGTCGCGTCACTTCATCGCATCTTCGCGTGTTCGCAACAGAACGCGGAGATACGAAGATACGAAATTGAAGAACTCAACCACTGTACTTAATCGTGCTGGCCATGAATAGAACTAAAAGATACGCGTTCTGGTACAAGTCTAAAACATTCCTCTGTACCTTCCAAGAAGTAAACCAATTTAACATTTTAACCATTACTGAAATGATTATGGCAGTCATCTTCGAAATAAAAGCGACAGAAACCATTTCCATTGAGAAATGTTTACTAAAAGCAGAGTTCATTATACATGTATGACTCCGACTCTTTAAAAATCACTACCAACTAGTGATGATACCATGTGTTTGCAAAAAGGTGAGCGTATCCTGCCCCACCGGTGGCACCCGTAACAAAACACTATGCAAACGAAATTCATTTTTTGACCTGAAAAAATAAACCACAGGAACATGTGGTACAATCATAAAATGGAATTGCATCGGATATAGTTTTGTCATTGGTGGGCACGATTTGGGAAATGTCCTCCCCATTTCGACCATAAAAAAGATATGCTTTCTTATAGCCTTGTCTGTGTGTAGTACTTTCTTGTCGTGAGACTTCGTAGTCTTTTGAATTGAATAACATTGTTCGTACCACACATATACAATAAGTATCAGTACAGAGTAAATGCAGAAATATACATACACCTATTTCTTATGACGGCAACATCTAACTCAAATATACTTTTGGGAGTATTCAAAACTGCCAGTATACCGAAGCTATTAAATGAAATACGTCATATTCGCTTTGACAATGAATGTGCACGAGACTACATATTGTCAGGGGGTACTTATGTCTAAAGATGAGAGTGACAAGAATTCTATTTGGTTACATGTAGCCTGTGGTTCCGTCTCTGTGTTACCCCTTGAGAAGGGACCTTTCCTGGATATTTCATAATCTCCTTTTATCGTAAACGTTTGAGAGTTTCGTATTGATGAGATTACCTTTGAGTCAATGTCGCCATTCCATGTGAAACTGACGGTTGTCAGGCATATAAGGGACCCATGTTTATCAAACATGGAGGTTTGGGTTTTTGCAGGGGCCAGTGAAACAATCCTTGCAATCTGAACTTCTTGAGCACCATTCGTACATATACAGTGACATTTAGACTATTTGAACTAGATTTAAGAACGACTCCTTTTTCAAATGTGGCTGCAAACCGGATCTTTTAGCCAATATGTGTTTCGCCATTGCCTACATTGGCGCGCTGCAATGCCTTGGAAACTGCAGTGGTCAAGGTCAGTCATAGCATCTTCCCAATAACATAACTCATCTTAATAAATACATTAATATTTCTAAAAACCGTATTTTAATTTATAATACATGCGAAAGGTATACATTGTAGGTGCAGTTTATAAGCAGTTAACGTGCATCTGTAATTACCAATAGCAACGCGTTGTTAGTGACGTGACTAGGCCACCGACGAGATGTTTATGACAACACTCGTAATGAACAAGAGGGTCGTGCGACACTGGGACTTGGTCTTATTGGAACAAAACTGTCATAAACGTGAAAGTGTATCACTTGTTGTGGTAAAGCTGTCATGGCGTTGTGGAGAGGTATAATGTACAATTACCTTGCGTAGAACAGATGAAAATCTATTTTCGGATCCGGCGTGGCAAAAAAACCAAAGAAATCACAAGTAAAAGAAAAGATATGCGTGCAGCTTGGCATATTTCCCATCTAAATTTGAAGTTATATGAACAATCTTAGATTCTGAAAACTGATTAAAGTATGCCATTGTTAAGAATTAAAACATCACCTGATGGTAGTCAATCAACACTAATGATTCCATTGTAGCGAATAATAATTCTTTTATATTGCTTGTGTGCAGATCCAGGCTTAAGAATCTGGTAACAGAAATAAGAATAAAAAAATGTACTTGAAAAAAGAGTTTCAGGCAGTGTCAGTGGTGGAGGCTCATACGCTGAAACAGGGTTGTGCTGTCAAACCAGTATTAGGAGTATTATACAGAACAGATGATGTCAATCTTAGTCTTCCATGTACGATATACAAGTCACAGTACAACCATATCTTCATAAACGATTATTATCACACAATACCTTTTCAGTGTATATTGATCTATTGTAATCACACAACGCTTCTACCAGCACATGCTCACAGAAGCCCTTTAGCATATACTGTAACATGTCCATCTCACAGAATACCTTCAGCGTATACTATAATATATCCATCTCACAGAAGCCCTTCAGCATATACTGTAACATGTCCATCTCACAGAAGACCTTCAGCATATACTGTAACATATCCATCTCACAGAATACCTTAAGCATATACTATAATACATCTATCTCACAGAAGACCTTCAGCATATACTGTAACATGTCCATCTCACAGAAGACCTTCACCATATACTATAATACATCTATCACACAGAAGACCTTTAGCATATACTGTAACATATCTGTCTCACAGAAGACCTTTAGCATATACTGTAACATATCTGTTTTAAGAATGCCTTCATCGGCACATACTACAAATATCCATCTTACAGAAAGCCTTCACCATATTCTATAGTATATCCATCTCACAGAATACCTTAAGCATATACTATAACATATCTATATTACAGAGTGCCTTCATCAGCATATAATATAACATGTCCATCTTACAGAATGCCTTCATCAGCATATAATATAGCATATCCATCTCACAGAATGCGGTCGTCAGCATATATAATATAACATATCAATCTCACAGAAAACCTTCACCATATTCTATAACATATCGATCTTACATAATGCCTTCACCAGCATATAATATAACATATCGATCTTACAAAATGCCTTCATCAGCATATAATATAACATATCAATCTCACAGAAAACCTTCACCATATTCTATAACATATCGATCTTACATAATGCCTTCACCAGCATATAATATAACATATCGATCTTACAGAATGCCTTCACCAGCATATAATATAACATATCGATGTTACATAATGCCTTCATCAGCATATAATATAACATATCAATCTCACAGAAAACCTTCACCATATTCTATAACATATCTATCTCACAGAATGCCATCATCATCAGCATATAATATAACATATCGATCTTACATAATGCCTTCATCAGCATATAATATAACATATCAATCTCACAGAAAACCTTCACCATATTCTATAACATATCCATCTCACAGAATACCTTCAGCAGATACTATAACATATCCATCTCACAGAATACCTTCAGCATATACTAAAAATATTCATCTCACAGAATATCATACTTTATCCATTTTACAGAATTCCCTTATCAACATAAATCACATCACATCCATCTCAGAATACCTTCATCAGAGTATTCCATAAGATCCAACCCACTACATACCTATATCAGAGTATACCATATGTAAAGAATACCTTTACCATGTGATATCCATCGCAAAGACTACCTATATCAGAAAAAAAATGCATACGACAGCAGATATTCTATTGAAGATTAATCATATACTAAAAATACATTATAAATTGTGTCTATCGCCTTATATCCCTGTTGTGAATACAGGAAGCACGTTTGTCAGAGAAAGCATACAATGTGTTATTATATTATAATAATTGTCTTTGTGGAACAGGCAGCTCACATTGGCGCACAGCTGCAGTGTTCTCCTTGCTTCGGCTGGGCGTGACTGTCACCCGCTCACATTGGCGCACAGCTACAGTGTTCTCCTTGCTTCAGCTGGGTGTGACTGTCACCTGCTCACATTGGCCCACACCTACAGTGTTCTCCTTGCTTCAGCTGGGTGTGACTGTCACCCGCTCACATTGGCGCACAGCTACAGTGTTCTCCTTGCTTCGGCTGGGCGTGACTGTCACCCGCTCACATTGGCCCACACCTACAGTGTTCTCCTTGCTTCAGCTGGGTGTGACTGTCACCCGCTCACATTGGCGCACAGCTACAGTGTTCTCCTTGCTTCAGCTGGGTGTGACTGTCACCCGCTCACATTGGCCCACAGCTACAGTGTTCTCCTTGCTTCAGCTGGGTGTGACTGTCACCCGCTCACATTGGCGCACAGCTACAGTGTTCTCCTTGCTTCAGCTGGGTGTGACTGTCACCCGCTCACATTGGCGCACAGCTACAGTGTTCTCCTTGCTTCAGCTGGGTGTGACTGTCACCTGCTCACATTGGCGCACAGCTACAGTGTTCTCCTTGCTTCAGCTGGGTGTGACTGTCACCCGCTCACATTGGCCCACAGCTACAGTGTTCTCCTTGCTTCGACTGGGTGTGACTGTCACCCGCTCACATTGGCGCACAGCTACAGTGTTCTCCTTGCTTCGGCTGGGTGTGACTGTCACCCGCTCGCATTGGCGCACAGCTACAGTGTTCTCCTTGCTTCAGCTGGGCTGGGTGTGACTGTCACCCGCTCACATTGGCGCACAGCTACAGTGTTCTCCTTGCTTCAGCTGGGCGTGACTGTCACCCGCTCACATTGGCGCACAGCTACAGTGTTCTCCTTGCTTCAGCTGGGCGTGACTGTCACCTGCTCACATTGGCCCACACCTACAGTGTTCTCCTTGCTTCAGCTGGGCGTGACTGTCACCCGCTCACATTGGCGCACAACTACAGTGTTCTCCTTGCTTCAACTGGGTGTGACTGCCACCCGCTCACATTGGCGCACAGCTACAGTGTTCTCCTTGCTTCAGCTGGGTGTGACTGTCACCCGCTCACATTGGCGCACAGCTACAGTGTTCTCCTTGCTTCAGCTGGGTGTGACTGTCACCCGCTCACATTGGCGCACAGCTACAGTGTTCTCCTTGCTTCAGCTGGGTGTGACTGTCACCCGCTCACATTGAAGCACAGCTACAGTGTTCTCCTTGCTTCAGCTGGGTGTGACTGTCACCCGCTCACATTGGCGCACAGCTACAGTGTTCTCCTTGCTTCAGCTGGGTGTGACTGTCACCCGCTCACATTGGCGCACAGCTACAGTGTTCTCCTTGCTTCAGCTGGGTGTGACTGTCACACGCTCACATTGGCCCACACCTACAGTGTTCTCCTTGCTTCAGCTGGGTGTGACTGTCACCCGCTCACATTGGCGCACAGCTACAGTGTTCTCCTTGCTTCAGCTGGGTGTGACTGTCACCCGCTCGCATTGGCGCACAGCTACAGTGTTCTCCTTGCTTCAGCTGGGCTGGGTGTGACTGTCACCCGTTCGCATTGGCCCACAGCTACAGTGTTCTCCTTGCTTCAGCTGGGTGTGACTGTCACCCGCTCACATTGGCCCACACCTACAGTGTTCTCCTTGCTTCAGCTGGGCGTGACTGTCACCCGCTCACATTGGCGCACAGCTACAGTGTTCTCCTTGCTTCAGCTGGGTGTGACTGTCACCCGCTCACATTGGCCCACAGCTACAGTGTTCTCCTTGCTTCAGCTGGGCGTGACTGTCACCCGCTCACATTGGCGCACAGCTACAGTGTTCTCCTTGCTTCAGCTGGGCGTGACTGTCACCCGCTCACATTGGCGCACACCTACAGTGTTCTCCTTGCTTCAGCTGGGTGTGACTGTCACCCGGAGATTGCCAGCGTTCACCAATGTAAAACACATTTATTTATATTATCAATTAGAATAAGAATTTCTCGTCAAGAAAGGAATTGAATTCTAAGCCAGTACAAGATACAACATGAATAAAAAAAATGAAGAATTGCTGTTACACCAAACAATAATTGTCTGTAGAGACACGTTCTGTACGATTGAAGCTAAACGAAGAAATCCATCAATAGCAGATGAAGATTGTGCCCATTGTGCTCCTTGTGGTTAGATAGTCACATCAGTATTGCCTGAATAATCACCGAAACATGTACTAAATTGTCAATCCATCATCGTCAGATCCAGATTCCTCGCACAGAAAGTTCATATGATTATAGTTTTACGCCGCTTTTAGCAATTTTCCAGCAATATCACGACGGGGGACACCAGAAATGGGCTTCACACATTGTACCTATGTGGGGAATCGAACCCGTGTTTTTTTTTGCCTGAAGTCATTACATATTATTTTATTTTGACTCTAATACTGTAGATCCACAATTACTATTTGTCTACATTATTGTATAGCAGCAATAACTCAACTTTAAACTTTACTTTGTATAATCATTATCAGTGTTAAATATATACCTCTGAAATTCCTTCTTACTGCGCATGTTCGAGGATGAGAATGGCCAGTGTTGCTTATAAACATCTCTCACACTGTCCTGCATGGCTCCTGGTGGAGCGATGGTCGGTCTTGATCCAAGTGTCCAGTCGGTACCCACAAAACAGGAATTCTAGATACTGTGTTCCTCTCAATTGGTGTTAACTGTTGCACTGATGTACCGCTTCTAAGATGTGTGTCCGGTCATAACAGTATTAACAAATGAGTGGATATGTCTTCATAAGATTGTTAACATCTGTGTAAAACTGGCTCGTCATACGAAAGTTATAGTCAAATTTGACTATGGTTGTTTGTTACGAATAAATGACAGTCAGCACTTCTCGACTGAGGATAGCTCCAGTGTGTGATATGTGTCCTATGGCCTCTCCCCAACAGCTTCCCCACATGGCGACAACACGATCTCGCGAACCAGACTACAACCACGTTACTCCTGGCCCTTCTTCTGTGTCACAGTTCATTACTGATGTTCAACACCGGATATTTCTCCATCCCGTCTGGTAAAGATCGCAAAGCAATGAGACTTTCTTGATTAAGAACAACCTAATGGTGGCAGTTACTGCCAGTAGGTGTCATTGTGTTTCCCTTACTTCATCAATCATCCATTTCGACAATGTTCACGCGAATTAGCAATTAATGTAGTATATATGGTGTTGGTGAACTCGCTACACGCCGACAGCCACTTCAGTGTGTGATGGTAGCCGTCTTGTAGCAATCACGCTCTGCCCTCACAAGTCACGCTGCCTCTCCAAAATACTCATAAATCTACAGCAGGTATATAAGTACACACTCCGAACTATGGGTCATGGCAAAATGTTGGCCCTAATCTCACGTTTTTTGCCTAATGTAAACTATACTTTCCCAACCACTTACCAGCTATGCCCGTCACATCTTACCTGCTAAAACCCGAATCTTGGTCTCTCGTCTGATCCTTCCCATTTGCCGTCTGCTCTTCTTCCCCTGCCGTCTGCTCCTCCTCCCGAACTCCCGGCACCTCCCACACGTCCTTGTACATCGTAGTAAGGAGCCCTTGGGCCCCTCTCAATAAGCCCTCGTGCATAGATCCCATTTCGATTTATGATCATAGAAAGTCTATGATTTACAATAGTGCGAAATATCGTGAGTGTAGTCCATGGACAACTCCGTATGACGGTCTCAGATGTTTATGTCACATATATGATGCCTTCTTTCTGCGTGACCCCACGTTAAACGCGTGTTTCAGATATGACCTACTCTCTACTTAGCCAGCTATTAGGGGCCTTAATTACTGCCATCGCATGAGTCAACCAAAACTCACTGAAATGTCAACAAATTGCATTATAGCACCGTCATGATACTCACTATGGTTCTGTTCACAATTTCTGGTGCCTTTCTTTGACAAAAACCATTCAATATCTGCATTCTTTCTTTCAACTATAACGCTTACAGTCTTCCATACAAACCAATTAGGGTTTCGTGTATAAAAACATATAGTATAAAATGTAATGTCCTTTTTGCACTGCTATCCTTCTATTGCATGCTTGGTTCAATCAGTCGCATTGATGATATTCATAACGATGTTGATTTGCTGCGTAGCCCCAAAGCGGCAGTCTATTCAAGAGTCACTGTGTGTATTGTATTCAATATAGCTGACACCATCAGGCCTCACTAGACTTCGTGTCAGCTGACACCATCAGGCCTCACTAGACTTCGTGTCAGCTGACACCATCAGGCCTCACTAGACTTCGTGTCACACAGACAAACTGAGATCATCAAATGTCCAGTCTGTTCTAAGTTTCTCTTGTAGGATAGAACGGCCGAGCAATTACTGTAAATGTTTCTTTTTGTGTTCATACACAGAAGGACAACATATTAATGTAGTGTATTAATAATTAATCCGACACACGAATCTCCAAGGCTATAGCATTCAGTATCTATGATGGGTCGTATCGTATGTAATGCTGTATGATACAAGTCACTTCAATTGGCTCTTTCTAATGCAATGGCGCTTTCTAACGCAATGACTCTTTCTAACGCAATGCCGCTTTCTAACGCAATGGCTCTTTCTAACGCAATGCCGCTTTCTAACGCAATGACTCTTTGAGCTTGTCTCGTTAAATACTGCTTCCGGCTTTCGATGTATTTTACAGAGGTAAGCTGCAATACCCAATCCTTGTAGACCAGGTTCAGCCTGTCAATGATATTTCCGTGTTTCCTTTGATAACGTCTTTGTTACGTCATTTGGAACCGTAAACACATTGATCATCCACACTGAAAGTCTGTCAAATGATGCAAAGCAACAAAGCTTTTCTTGCATGGTTTAAGGATTACTCCTACATATCCACTAAATGAAAATCACAACCATCGAGATATAATATTCACATTATTGAAAACAAAGCGGAAGTGTTGTCATAGTTACGCAACAATCCAAACAATGCATATTATCAGGTTGTTAAGGATTAATTCACAGCCAGATCGTTTCCCCTTTCCAATATGTTCTCTGGATGATAGGCTCATATGTTCTGAGGATATTAAAAACGAAATTACAGTCATAAATATCACTTACGTCACGGAGAACGTTCACACAGATGAGTCCGTTTATTTTCCTCTTGGGAACAATTTTGTCTTTGGCAATAAATACCACCTTAACGAGAAGAACGGTTCCAACGCGCGTCAAGGTGGCGCCTCGGTCCTACAAGCCTCCCTTCTATTTAGAACAATTATTATCACTCGCCAATTTCCATTTTTCTTCTTGGAAACGCACAATTGTAAATCGATTTTATTGATTGTGCTTTGATGTAAATCCACACGGGATAAAATGATAACATTTCTACATGTGTTCATCACGTAACAAGTCGTCAGCTGCTTCTGTATGTCGATGTTAGTACCTTCCCCCGCGTGAGCTTGACAGCGTCTTGGTTACAAGTTATGTTTGTAAGTGTTGCATTTGGTCCCAGGACAGCAGAATCCAGTCCATATATTCTATTTTGCTTTAAGAAATGTTCCAGATAACATTATAAATATGTCACCTCTTTTTCTTCTTCAGCTCCAGCAACCCGGACCAGCGATATTTCTATTACTGATCTTCAATGGTCGTTGTTCGCTGATGGTTATGGCTATACAAAGTACGTGGTTTACTTTTTCACATTAGGTTCAAGCAATTCCCATTCGTGTTACGACTGCCACGTTCTGAATAAATCAACGAAACTGGAAATGAATCCTGAATAAATCCCGACACAAGTTATGACTGGTATTTGCTACTGTATGGCTTGGTATCATGTCAGTTGTCATCAAACAATAGTTTCTGACCAGTCGATAAGGAGACTATTAATCCAATAAATCAATGTCTGGCATATAACTGACCTGTATATAGCAAATGTCGGATTGGTGGAACAAATGTGGAGTGCTAGTATCAGTTATTATTTGACTTTGAGTCGATCACTGTTGGGCAGGTGACACGAGTAAACAAAGCCATGTGAAAACCTGAGCACGAACCCTTGTTGGCACTGACGTGATGTAACCAGCTGTCTTGTCCCACACCACATCAATAATTAATGTCAGACAAATGTGGATACATTGCATCAAATCCAGTCGTTGATGTCAGTTTCATCGATTTGTGAGTTCTCTATAGTTTCATGAAAAAGAATATTATTCGACGTTGTCGATTTCTTAAGCAAAGAACAAGCTTCTGTCCCCTTCAGTGGCGCTATGTTTTCCCCGTGCTGTCAGTCTGGATACCTGTGTGTCCGTGACAATTACCGTTAATCCTTAAGAACATGTCGACATATCCGACATATGAAGTGACAATTTCCTGTGCGTGACAAGCTGTGTAAGTGCCAGTGACGGCACCCTGTACATTTCCTGGGCCTTGTACATCATTCTTTTATGAACTTCAACAACTTGATACTATGATTTAAATCGTGTCATGATATGACTGTTTAAGTACTGTCTGATAGAAATTTGCCATGTAAACGACATGTTATTTGTGACAGTTTTGACAGCAATATCCGCTGGCCTCCTGGCACCATGGACATCGGCCAGTAATGGCGGTAATTCAATACAGAATGCATCCAGGCATAGTCTTCATACTTCACGTGAACACACGGACACGATGGACGTGGGCACAGCCTTCATAGTCCAACTCAATTTGAAAACTGTGTGTGGTGCGTTCAAGTATTTTTAGTGCATCCCTCTCTGGTTGATGCTTATCGTCGAACTCGCCCACGCTTTGCATATCATAATCTGTCGTCATTCGCAATGGGGATATTTGAACCTGCCTTAGCCATTCCCCAAACGTACGCTGGATCCGTCATATTTGACATTGATCACACAATCGATGACGAGGTCGATAATGTAGGCTAATAACAGGTGTAACGCACCCGTAGTGCGTCTCCAGCAGTTTTATAGCGAGTGTCCAGCAGTCTAGGAGCGACCACATTGTCTCCCGCAGTCAGTAGCGAGCGTCTCCAGCAGTCTAGTAGCGACCACACTGTCTCCCGCAGTCAGTAGCGAGCGTCTCCAGCTGTCTAGTAGCGACCACACTGTCTCCCGCAGTCTAGTAGCGAGTGTCTCCAGCAGTGTCTTAGCGACCACACTGTCTCCCGCAGTCAGTAGCGAGTGTCTCCAGCAGTGTCGTAGCGACCACACTGTCTCCCGCAGTCAGTAGCGAGTGTCTCCAGTAGTCTAGTAGCGACCACACTGTCTCCCGCAGTCTAGTAGCGAGTGTCTCCAGTAGTCTAGTGGCGAGTGTCTCCCGCAGTCAGTAGCGAGTGTCTCCAGCAGTTTTGTAGCGAGTGTCTCCAGTAGTCTAGTGGCGAGTGTCTCCAGCAGTCTTGTAGCGAGTGTCTCCAGTAGTCTTGTAGCGAGTGTCTCCCGCAGTCAGTAGCGAGAGTCTCCAGTAGTCTAGTGGCGAGTGTCTCCAGTAGTCTTGTAGCGACCACAGTGTCTCCCGCAGTCTAGTAGCGAGTGTCTCCAGTAGTCTAGTGGCGAGTGTCTCCAGTAGTCTTGTAGCGAGTGTCTCCAGTAGTCTAGTGGCGAGTGTCTCCAGCAGTCTTGTAGCGACTACAGTGTCTCCCGCAGTCTAGTAGCGAGTGTCTCCAGTAGTCTAGTGGCGAGTTTCTCCAGCAGTCTAGTAGCGAGTGTCTCCAGTAGTCTTGTAGCGAGTGTCTCCAGTAGTCTAGTAGCGAGTGTCTCCAGCAGTCTTGTAGCGAGTGTCTCCAGTAGTCTTGAAGCGAGTGTCTCCAGTAGTCTAGTAGCGAGTGTCTCCAGTAGTCTTGTAGCGAGTGTCTCCAGTAGTCTTGTAGCGAGTGTCTCCAGTAGTCTAGTGGCGAGTGTCTCCAGCAGTCTTGTAGCGACCACAGTGTCTCCCGCAGTCTAGTAGCGAGTGTCTCCAGCAGTCTAGTAGCGAGTGTCTCCAGTAGTCTAGTGGCGAGTGTCTCCAGCAGTCTAGTGGCGAGTGTCGCCAGTAGTCTAGTGGCGAGTGTCTCCCGCAGTCTAGTAGCGACCACAGTGTCTCCCGCAGTCTAGTAGCGAGTGTCTCCAGTAGTCTAGTGGCGAGTGTCTCCAGCAGTCTAGTAGCGAGTGTCTCCAGCAGTCTAGTAGCGAGCGTCTCCAGTAGTCTAGTGGCGAGTGTCTCCAGCAGTCTTGTAGCGAGTGTCTCCAGCAGTCTAGTAGCGAGTGTCTCCAGCAGTCTTGTAGCGAGTGTCTCCAGCAGTCTAGTGGCGAGTGTCTCCAGCAGTCTTGTAGCGAGTGTCTCCAGCAGTCTTGTAGCGAGTGTCTCCAGTAGTCTAGTGGCGAGTGTCTCCAGCAGTCTAGTAGCGAGTGTCTCCAGCAGTCTAGTAGCGAGCGTCTCCAGTAGTCTAGTGGCGAGTGTCTCCAGCAGTCTAGTAGCGAGTGTCTCCAGTAGTCTAGTGGCGAGTGTCTCCAGTAGTCTAGTGGCGAGTGTCTCCAGCAGTCTAGTAGCGACCACAGTGTGTCCCGCAGTCTAGTAGCGAGTGTCTCCAGTAGTCTAGTGGCGAGTGTCTCCAGCAGTCTAGTAGCGAGTGTCTCCAGCAGTCTAGTAGCGAGCGTCTCCAGTAGTCTAGTGGCGAGTGTCTCCAGCAGTCTTGTAGCGAGTGTCTCCAGCAGTCTAGTAGCGAGTGTCTCCAGTAGTCTAGTAGCGAGCGTCTCCAGTAGTCTAGTGGCGAGTGTCTCCAGCAGTCTAGTAGCGAGTGTCTCCAGTAGTCTAGTGGCGAGTGTCTCCAGTAGTCTAGTGGCGAGTGTCTCCAGCAGTCTTGTAGCGAGTGTCTCCAGCAGTCTTGTAGCGAGTGTCTCCAGCAGTCTAGTGGCGAGTGTCTCCAGCAGTCTAGTGGCGAGTGTCTCCAGTAGTCTAGTGGCGAGTGTCTCCAGTAGTCTAGTGGCGAGTGTCTCCAGTAGTCTAGTAGCGAATGTCTCCCGCAGTCTCGTAGCGAGTGTCTCAAGCAGTCTAGTAGCGAGTGTCTCCAGTAGTCTAGTGGCGAGTGTCTACAGCAGTCTAGTAGCGAGTGTCTCCTGCAGTCTAGTGGCGAGTGTCTCCAGCAGTTTAGTTGCGAATGTCTCCCGCAGTCTAATAGCGAGTGTCTCCAGCAGTCTAGTAGCGAGTGTCTCCAGTAGTCTTGTAGCGAGTGTCTCCAGTAGTCTAGTGGCGAGTGTCTCCAGTAGTCTAGTGGCGAGTGTCTCCAGCAG